CTAACTTCCTCTCTCCATATAGTGGCTGCCATCTTATTTTTAGTCTTAGGTAAATCTTCTGTTTCACTGTCTGTCTAACAATAAATCAACTATAGTGCAACCATAACATATGACCTACAGAAAATGAAAAGCCCATAATCACGCAGAGGCCATTTCTCCATTCTAACCCTTGAGGGGCTTGGCAAAGTCCCATACCCACCTGTAGAAGAGGGCTGTCATTTAATGTAAGTGTGACCACAGACACAGACATGAAACAGAAAAGATTTTATGTAATATTTATTTTTTATCCCCTCGTAATTTTGGCTTTAATCCTCACCTCCTATTGCCCTTTTTTTCTTGGAAATACACTTTTTTAAAAAATAAGATGTTTAAATCATGATTACCTGAAGTTATAACAAAACTTTCTTCTCTCCAAAGGGGAGGAAAACACACATAACTTTTATTCTTCTGCAGCATTATCAAATATGCATGTCAATATATATTTTATAAACTATTTAAAATAAAAACCCTTCATCCTTTGAGGTTATTGACATTTTCTGGTTCACTGACACATCTCCCATAATACAATTACTTCTGTTCATTTTTATAAATGAGGTGGGAACTATACTAAAAATAGGATTTTAATCCCTGAGGTGCCAGTTAAAATAGAGGAGGTTGCCATTGCAACACAAGATTTAAAAATTCAGCCTTAAATAATAAGCATGGATCATGCTATCTGAATCAGAATCATCTCCAAAGTATGAAGTCATTTAGAAAATCGAATTTACTGGGTAAAGTTCACCCTGTTTATTCCCAGCCCTCATGCTATGATAATCTTTCCTTTTGTAAAGGAGTAACACATTGCAATGAAGTCTGTAGAAACTTCTGAGATCCTCAGAAATCAAGAGAAACCATAGTCCCGTTTCTCGAATCTCCATCCACACCGTTGGAGAAGGTTTTTCAGCACCATTCCAAGACCTGGAAATATTGATGAACTGACATGGTTTTTCTACTTCTCCATAGATATAGTCAAAAAAGGAGGAATTAGTCCTCCCGGCTGGAAAGTGGGCGTGTCCTGCTATTCTCTGCCGCCACATCTTAGTCGAGCTGGGTTCAGCTCCTCGTGTCCAAGGCTCTGCAGAGCCTGTCCCTGGCGGGCAGCGTCCGGGGTCCCTGCTGTTCCCCTAGTAGTAGCGGTTGAGGCTCCTGGTCCCGGGCACCTCGGGCTGGCCGTTCATCCAGATCTCCCTGATGATGCGTTCTCGCTCCTCCAGCCGCTGGGCACGCTCCAGCTCCTCTGCCGACGTGAACACGTTCTTGTTCAAAGTCCTCTCAAAGCGGCGGTGTCTCCGCACTGAGAGGTCGGACGCGGTGTCTGAGCTGCCCTCCTCGCTGTCGCTGCTGTCACTGCTGCAGCTGCTCTCTCGAT